GGGAAATGCAGGGCAGGAAGGAACGACCAAGGGGACACAGGGAGACTCACGTGGGCCACACGGATGCCAGTGCAAAAGGTGATCTTGCCCTTGGGCTGGACAGTGTGGAGCTTGGACAAGATGCGGCCGGTGTCAGGGGTGAGCGTGGTCAGCACTTCACAGTCACTAGGATGTGGGAAAAGCGCTTCTGTGAGCTCAGGTCAGCATGAGGACCTCCAAACTGGGTCTGACTTGCCTGTGTGGTTTCTTTTTTATTTTTTTTTTTGAGAAATTTTTTGCTATAGGGTGCGTGCACTCGCCAGAGATAGAGACAGAGACAGAAAGTGAGAAATCCCCTCCCAGGGGGGTAGGGGTGTCCATGCCACAATCCCTTTTCCTCCATGCTCCTCTAGGGATTTTGGGCATGCGCGCACACGCGCCTGGCATAAGTTTAAGTCACCGGGTTCTGGACTTGAACAGTGATGAGCTACATGGAAGTCCAGCGACATAACCATTCTGCCACCTGCTGATTATGCCATCCCTGATTTACTGTTCTTCAGAGATCTTGGGAACAACTATAATCCCTATTCTTTTTTTTTTTTTGGAAAGGTTTTTCGCTATAGGGCGTTTGCACTCGCCAGACAGACAGAGACATAGAGACAGAAAGTGAGAAATCACCCCCAGGGGGGATGGTCACGCCGCAATCCCTCCTCCTCCATTCTCCTCTCAGGATCTTGGGCACGCACACACACGCACCCAGTGTGAGTTTTAAGTCACCGGGTTTGGGACGGGAACCGCGGTCGACTACGTGGGAGTCCAGCGACATAGCCATTACGTTAACTGCTGGTTCCCCTATAATCCCTATTCTTGATCAAGCATCTAGTGTCTAGTCGATACCAGGCACAGAACTGATACTGACGCGTTTTTTAAGAAATTTGCCCTCTGCCTCCCGTTTCTATACCAGAATTCTTCACAGTACAAGGAAGGTACTTGGTCTCTCTCCCACCTCTCCATTTCTAGACACATTCTCCAGCTAACAGCATGTATGCTGGGGTGGGAGATTACTCATGTGGGGATTATCAATTCCTAAAATGAATCATTTTTGGAGCGACAGGATGTCTGAAATATGGCCAAAGGCTCTGATTCAAAATTACTTTTGACTAACTTTAAAATATACTGCAAATTTCTTCACCCCAGGAGATTTAGTTTTATAATTGTATTAAATTCAGGTTAGGGGGCCAGCAGGTAGTATGGTGGTTAGGGGCGCTGGACTCCCACATGGCTGACTGCAGTTTCAATCCCAGACCTGGCAGCTTGCTGTTATACTTTCCTTCTTTCCCTCTCTCTGGTCAAATTTAAAAAATAATAATAAATTAAATAGAATAATTATTTAAAAAAATTAATCCAGGTTAGTATTAAATATGGGTTGCTGGGACCAGCAGTTGGCATAATGGCTATGTCGCTGGATTCCCATGTAGTTGATCAAGGTTCAAGTCCCGGAGCTGGTAGTTTAAACTCACACCAGGCGCATGTGCGTGTGTGCCCAAGATCCCGAGAGGAGAATGAAGAAGGGACTACAGTGTGGCCATCCTCCCTGGAGGGTGATTTCTCACTTTCTCCTGTCTTTCTGACTCTGTCTTTCTGGTGAGTACACACATCCTATAACAAAAATCTCTCAAAACAAACAAAAAAAGGGTTGCTGGGCCTGCAGGTGGTGTGGTGGTTAAGGGCACTGGACAAGGGTGCTGGACTCTCACATAGCTGACCACAGTTCAAGTCCTGGACCTGCGGCTTGCCTTCTTACCTCCCCCCCACTCTGTAATAAATAAATAAATTTATTTATTAAAAATAAATAAAGTTAAGTAATTCTTTAAAAAAAGTTGCAATTTTCATGTACACTGAATAGGAAAGATGGCCACCTAGGAAGACGATGGCAAAAGCAGCCTCCTGGAATCCACAGAAGGGCAGCCACCCACAGCGGTCCACATGGGAAGACAGCCAACCCCAGGCCACCCCCTCCTCCGGTCCACATACTTGGCTAGTGTGATGAGGCCCACGTTGTTCTCCGGGTTGCTGCGGGTCTTTGAGTGACACACTATGTTGACGGCATCCTGCTGGGCCTGCAGCCGGGTAGGTAAGAAGTCCCCATTCCGCATATACTCACTATTGTCCACACTGTAAGATGAGGGTGACAGAGGGGAGAGGAGCAATGTTGTAGGAGCTCTGAAACATGTCCTCTAGTCCCAAGCCCCATCACCACCTCTCGTGTGAGGCGCACTACGGTATGTAACAGTGGCTCTTAGTCGGCGGAACACAGAACCACCTACATATGTATTTTAGTTTACTATATAAACGTGTGTGCTCGCCAGAGAAGGCGGGGGGTTAGACATAATCTGCGACGGGGCCTGACCATGCTGTAATTCTTTTCTCCACTCTCCTCTCCAGATTTCCAGCAAACACACACATGCCTGGGGTGATTTTAAAGTTGCCAGGTCCAGGACTTAAACCTACACAGTCAATGATGTGGGAATCAAGCTGCTTTCACCTCCACGCCACCTGCTAGCCCTTTTTTCCTTTAATATGCAGATGGAAGCCAGCAGGTGCGTGGTAGCTAAGGTGTTGGACTCTCCATGGCAGACAGCAGCTCAAGTCCTGGACCTGGTGGCTTGCTTTCTCACTTCCTCTCTCTCTCTGATGAGCACATGTGACCTATAACAAATTAAATAATAATGAATAAATTAAATAAATAATTCTTTAAATACACAGATGCCCAAGACTTTAGACTTATTGATGCAAAAAAAAAAAAAAAAAGACTGGCAGTTGGTGTAATGGCTATGTTGCTTATGTTGCTAGATTCCCACATAGTCGACCATGGTTCGAGTCCCAGACCCAGTGGCTTAAACTGACGCCGGGCATGTGTGAATGCGTGCCCAAGATCCTGAGAGGAGAATGGAGGAGAAGGGATTGCATCATGGCCAACCCCCCAGGGGTTGATTTCTCACTTTGTCTCTCTGTCTCTCTCTGTCTTTCTGGCGAGTACATATGCCCTATAGCAAAACCTTTCCAAAAAAACAAAACAAAACAAAAAGACTAACTAATGATCAGAGAATTTTTTTAAGGTAATTTTAAAAAAATAATTATGTATTTGTTATTATTTTTTAATTTGACCATAGAGAGACAGAGGAAGAGAAAGTGAGAAAGCAAGGACTCAAACCAAGATTGGTCATGTTGGACTCCAGTGTCTCAACCATCATGCCACCTATCAGGCCCCATCAGAGGATTTTTTAAACTCTCCAAAAGCAACCTACAGTTACATCACAAGCACTTTTTTTTTTTTTAGGTAAAATTTTTACAATTATTTTTTTATTATCATTACCTTAAAAATTATTATTTTAACTTTATTTATTTATTTATTTAAATTTGACCAGAGAGGGAGAGAGAAAGAGAGAAAGAGAGAAAGAGAGAAAGAGAGAAAGTGAGAAAGCAAGCTGCCAGGTCCAGGACTAGAATCATGGTTGGCCATGTGAAAGTCCAGTGCCCTTCACCACCACACCACCTGCCAACCCTTATTATCATAACTTTTTAATTTGACCAAAGAGAAATAGAGATAGGGAAAATGAAAAAGCAAGCTGCCAGGTCTAGGACTTGAACTGTGGTCAACCATGTGGACGTCCAGCACCTTAACCACCACATCACCTGGCGGCTCCTTTGCTAAGGTTTTTGCCATAGGGTACATGAGCTCACTGGAGAGAGACAATGAAATAAAAAGTGAGAAATCATCCCTCAGGGTGGATGGCCATGCTGTAATCCCTTCTCTTAGGATTTGGGGTATACATGCACACCCGGAGTGATTTTCAAGTTTCTGGATCTGAGACTCAAACCATGGTTAGCCAAGTGGGAGTTCAGCACCATAACCACCATGCCACCTGCTGGCTCCCACAAGAACCTTTAAATATAAACTGTACTTAAGTGTTATTAAGTTTTAGGGGACCCACAGTTGGCGTAATGGCTGTCGCTGGACTCCCATGTTCGACCGCAGTTCAAATCCAGACCCGGTGGCTTAAACTCATGCTGGGTGTGTGTGCGTGTGTGTACCCAAGATCCCAAGAGGAGAATGAAGGAGAAGGGATTGTGGCGTGGCCATCCCCCCCCCCGGGGGGGGGGGATTTCTCGCTTTCTGTCCTCTGTCTCTCTCTTTCTGGCGAGCACATGCAACCCATAGCAAAAACCTTTAAAAAAAAAAAAAAAGAGTTATTAAGCTTTGTCACGGATAAAAAATTTAAGTCTGCTGTTAAATGTAAGTATTCCAAATGTAAAATAAAGAAGGAAACATAAAAACACTTAGAAAATATCACATGTTTGGCAGCACTGAGTGTAGGAAAGCACCATGCAATCATCTGGTCAGATGCTCAATGACTGAACTGCAAACTTCACGGATTTGAGGCCTCACCTCTTCTACTATCCCTGCAACTTTTCCAAAATTAAAAAGAATCCAGATAATATGGAATACAAGCTTCAGCTTCACAGAGACCAAAAGAAGGCAGATGAGTGAAAAACAGTTATGTAAGCCCTGGAGCCAATCAATTCTTTCTGTGTGTGGGGTGTGGGTGTTATTTTTAGACAGGCTCTCAGGCAGTCTTCCTGCCCCAGCCTCCCAAGCATCTAGGATCACAGGCATGTGCCACCTCATCTGTGAAATGGGTTTTATGGCATCCACCCTAGGTTGCTTTGATGATTAAATGCATGCAAAGTACTTAGCACAGTGCATAAGACTCTGCAAGCAGGAAATAGATCTATTCTCAGGCAGGAACACAGCTATGCAAAAGAGGCCAAGGGCTGACTCTATGGACCATGCATTCTATTTTATCCCCTGATACACTGTTTCAAGTTATTCTCCCAGCAGGGAAGTTACTGCCTCTCTAGCTTCAGATAAAGTGGGAGTCCAAATACCAAAAACAATGAAGGTGTTGAGCAGAGTCCAGATGGAATAGCTTTTAAGTGTAAGGACTGTGGGCAAGACCAGCAGATGCACAATAGCAGGGAAACCAGAGTGGAGTAGAAAAGGTCGTGAGAGATGGAGGGGTTGACGGCGAAGAACAAGGCAGTTCTCACACTTTGTCACGATTCGGAACTGTGGGGGTGGGGTGGTGGTAGTGGTGGTAAAAACACAGATGCCTTACCATCCATGTACACATCCCTAAAAGAGATACTGTTCAGTTTTCCTAATGTAGCTATATATGAATGGAAGTATATATGTATTCCACAGGCCAGTAGGTGGCACAGAGATTACAGCGTTAGATCCCACATGGCCAGCTATACAGCTCGAGTCCCATCACTGGAGGCTTGAATACTGCACCAAGTGCATGTGCACACATGCCCCAAGTCCCTAGAGAGTAGAGAAGGGACTGCCGCATGGCCATCTCCTCTGGGGGCAGATTTCTCACTTTCCCTGTCTCTCTCAGGTGAGTGCATGCACCCTATAGTAAAAATTGAAACAAACAAACAAACAAAACAAAAAAAAAACAAAGTTATTTCATGTAATTACTTCCACTGAGAAGTATAATTTTAGCCAACAAAAATTTCTATCAAAGTTAAAGCTTATGGTACTATCTAAACCCAGCTGCAGCGAAGCAGGTGGTAGGGCACAACTACGACTGGAACATATGAGAAGACTCAGGGCTCAGATAATAGATTGTCCTGCACAAGGAGGGCATGCCCATAGACAACGCCCATTACCATGGCTGGCTAGAAGGCTTAGGAGAGATGGTAAAATACAGTGAGACCCTTTTGGGGATTCCTGTCTGTATCTCTCTCTCTCTCCACCAAGAAATAAACAAACTTCACACACATACACACTCACTCACACACACAAAGTATCATCCAACTATCCCATAAAGTCTTCATTTTCAAAGAGAACAGAGGTACCTAGAGTCTATATGGGAAAGTCTGACTTAGCATATCAAGAGTAATGTCAAGGAGGCCAGCAGGTAGCGTGGTGGTTAGGGGAGCTAGACTCCCACATGACTGACTGTGGTTCAGGTCTGGTGGCTTGCTTTCTCATTTTCCTCTCTCTTGTTCTGTCCCTCTCTGGTCAAATTAAATAAATAAATAAAGCTAAATAATATACTATATTGAAAAAAGAGAGAGTAAAATCAGGGCCCAGCAGGTGGTGTGGTAGTTAAGGTACTGGACTTCCATATGGCAAACCGCAGTTTAAGTCCTGGAAATGGATGCTCGAAAATCACGAGAGGTGCATTTATGTACCTGCCCAAAATCCCCAGAGAAGACTGGAGAAGGGATTATAATGTGGCCATCCACCCCTCAAGGGATGCTTCTCACTTTCCCTCTCTCTGTCTCTCTCCAGGGACCACATGTGCCCTATGTCAAACCTAAAAAAAAAGAAAAAGAAAAAAGTAAAGTCAAATACCTACTTTATTTTGGTTTTTGCCATAGGGCACATGCACTCACTGGAGAGGCAGAGAGAGGGAAAGTGAGAAGCATCCCTTGAGGGGTGGTGGGGGGGTGGTCGCACGAGTCTCTTCTCCACTTTCCACTCAGAATTCTGGGCACGTGCACATACGTGCCTGTCATGATTTTCGAGCCATCAGGTCTGGGACTCAAACCACGGTCAGCCATGTGGGAGTCCAGTGTCTTAACCACCATGACATCTACTGGCCCCAAACACCTACATTTTAAAAGAACTTATGAGTTCCCAGTGGTTTCTGATGGTAAAACATAAGGTCCTACAGAAAAAACCGTAAGGGTGGTCTTCATCACTCTTCCCAGCTCATCAAGTTGGATCAATGATCTTTTCTTTTTTTGTTTTAAGTTTATCTCTTCTGAAGGGGGTACCTTTAACAGGTTTTACGTGCCGAAATACTCCCAGTCTCGGAGGTCTAGGTCACAGACAGGTGTGCCCAGCTGACTCCGGTAGGTCCAGGACACAAACATAGGATTTCTACCACGAAGGACTAGATACAGTACTGCCTTGTCACCACCTAATCCTAAAATCAACAAGTATATTTTTTTTTTTGAGAGAGAGATTTTTCACTATAAGACACGTATGCTCACTAGAGAGACAGAGACAAGAGAAAGTGAAAAATCATCCTCCGGGGGATGGCCATGTAGCAGTCCCTTCTCCATTCTCCTCTTGGGATTTTGGGCACGCACACATA